CAGAAAAGTGGGTGAAGGGAGACGTCGGACAGGGCAGGATATGACAAAATAAACAATTTATACATTTAAAAAAAAGAAGAAAGGCCATGCAATCAATTTCCAATTCATCAGACCTTTAACATCATACCCTTGGAAATTAGAAAGACTTGCCCTCTCTGTCTGGCACACAGCTGTTGGTTGCCGGCACAGTGAGACCTACAAGGCAATAGATGCCCCCTCCAGGGAGGCACTCTTAACAGTGCTGTGGGTTAGGTGCTGGCCCGCGAGCCCCAAGGTCGGCAGTTCAACCCCTGTGTGGGTAGGGTGGGGTGGGGGTGTCAGCACCACAGTGGCCCGTGTCTCTCAGCGCTGCGGCGACTCCGGGGTGGCCGGGACATCACAGTGGAGCTGGAGGAGCTGGTGGCAGAGCAGGCTGCGTGCCAGGGCCAGCGGGCAAAGCGGCCGTGGGAGCTGTTCGGAGAGCAGGCCCTGCGGAGGCAGGTGGTCAGCCTGGTCGTGCTGGGCAGCGCCATGGAGCTCTGTGGGAACGATTCGGTGAGCCCTCTGGGTGTGGGCCTGGGCTTTGGGGCGGGGAGGGTAGCTGGGAGCCACGGGTAAATGAGTGGCCTCTGTCCCCATGTACAGGTGTACGCCTACGCCTCCTCCGTGTTCCAGGCGGCCGGCGTGCCCGAGGACAAGGTGCAGTACGCCATCATTGGGATGGGAAGCTGCGAGCTGCTCACGGCCGCCATCAGTGTGAGTGTGGCTGGCGGACAGCGCAGCGGTCACTGTGAGGGGCCCGCTGCGCCAGCCAGAGGGGCGATGCCCGCATGACCGTCTGCAGAGTTCTTCAGCCATAGTTGGCAGTTCCTTGGAAACCCTGCTCCGGGGTGAACTGTCTCAACCACACCTACCAACAACGATAGTGACACTTCTCTTAATCCCAGCTTCCATCCAACCAGACACCTGACCGTGGCCCGGGAGTCGGATCCCACCCACAGCGACCCCGTAGGACAGAGTAGAAGTGCTCCACAGGGTTTCCAAGACCTCGAAGGGAGCAGGCAGCCTCTTCTTTCCCCCCTGGAGTAGCTGGCTGGTGGGTTTGAACCGTCAACCTTTCAGTTAGCAGCCCAATCCACAACCCTCAGTGTCCCTGGGGCCCCTTTTCACTCCACCGACCATGTGGAAACTCTCGGTTGACGGACTTCTAGAAGCTTCTGAGGTGCTCAAGCCAGAGCTGTGATTACCGGCCAGCTACCAGGCTTCCCACTGAGGGGTTCGTCCGCACGTGCCACAGGCACACGCTCCTCTTTTCCTTGCTGCCACGGTGGTTGTTAGTTTGTATGGGTCTTTCAGTCCTACCACTGTGGGCATTAGGGTTTGTGAACCTAAGCCAGTCACTTTTTGGGGGGTACTCACCGGTTTGGTCACGTCGTGAGGCGTTTCAGCTGCAATCTTGTAGCGATTCATATTGGTGACCCTCTGTCCCTAACCTTTCCGAGATGAAGCCGTGCTTGAAGTAAAAGAAGGACAATCCATCCAAGTTTCTGTTGGCTCTTTCAGAGACAAGAGACAGAGTGAGACCTTGAATTAGTAGATTCGTTGAGGGAGGTGAGGTGTGTAGGGAGCAGGACATCAGAGGAAACGAGGTGAAAGGCGTTTAGGGTCGCCGCAGAAAGAAAGGTTAGCGCCGGGCCTTTGTCTACAGCCAGAGAATTAGCCAGCTCAAAAGATACAGAGATCACGAGGGCCGTTCTTACAGACAGGAAGAGAAACTTAGACCCACTATCAAACTACAACAGAGTCTGGCGAGGAAAGAGTTACACGACTCAGCCACCCCTTTTGCTGCAGGAATGGCAGGAAAGGGACAGCGGGAAGGGTTGGAGCGGAGCTGGGAAGGTGTCCTGTCTGCACAGCCCACGTTTCAGGTAGCAAGCAGGGGTGAGAGGAGAGAGAGAGGGAGAAGACAAACACATTCCACAGTATTTATGTTTGGGGGTCATCTATAAATTTTGTAGACATGATGCATCCCTGCGTATCTTTTTGGTTGGTGCAGATAACTCCAGTGGGCTGGGCACCAGCTTCCGTGAGCTGGCATCGCTTAATCAGGCAGGAGGATGGACGGAGTAAGCTTTGTACACAGAAGATAATGGTGCCTATTGTCTTCAGTAACGCTGCCACCAGACCCCAGAGCAGTGGTTCTCAACCTTCCTCATGCTGCAACCCTTCCATACAGGTCCTCGTGTGGTGCTGACCACCCCCAACCATAACATTATTTTCGTTGCTACTTCATCACTGTAATTTTGCTACTGTTATGAATCAGGTGACCCCTATGAAAGGGTCGCGACCCACAGCTTGAGAACCACTGCCCTAGAGTTTCCACTCAGTTGCTGGTTAATGTTGTGACTAATCAGGCCATTCAGCGTCGAAAGATTCCACAAACAGCTCTGTGGTTGGTATTTATATAAAATCCAAGACACATTACCTTCAAATCGTTTACAACACTGTTTATCCCCTATGAACCTCTGATTCCCTGGTGGCGTCATGGTTACCCATTGGGTTGCTAACTGCAAGGTCAGCAGTTCAAAACCACCAGCCTGGACATAGAAAGACAGGACTTTCTGCTCTTGTAAAGAGTTAGTCCCAGAATCCACTCGGGCTACCTTGTCCCATACGCCATGCTAGGTGTCGGCATTGACTCAATGGTTTGTTTGTTTGTTTGTTTGTTTTGAGAACTTATGCTTCGGGGAGACCTGGTGCTGCAGTTGGGTGAGTGTTGAACTGTGAACCAAAAGGTCAGCAGGTCAGCCCACTAGCCATTCTGAGGACAGGGGTTGAAGCTGTCTGCTCCCTGCAGATTTTCAGCCTCAGAAACCCTATGTAGGATGGCTGTGAGTTGGCATCGGCTTTGTGGCAGTGAGTGCCTGTGGAGCGATGGCTAAAATTGATACTAGACATCACTAAGGGGTCTCAGGAGGAGCCCCGGTGGTACAGTGGTTACGCTGTGGGCTGCTAACCCAACCGTCAGAAGTTTGAAACCACCAGCCGCTCCACAGGAGCAAGACGAGGCTTTCCACGCTGGCAAAGTGTTCCAGTCTCCGAACCCCCCGGGGGCCGTTCCACCCCGCCCTGGAGGGTCAGTGTGAGTCAGAAATGGCTTGATGACAGTGGGTGGAGTTTGAGTGACAGGCCCTTGGAGGAAGTACTTAGAAGAAGTACTACCAGAGTGCTCCTTCGAGGCAAGGATGGCAAGACTTCTTCTGACGTGCTTTGTCAGGACACGCTGTCAGGAGAGACCAGTCCCCAGAGAAGGACGTCCCGTTTGCTAAAGTAGAGGGACAGCAACAAAGAGGAAGGCCCTGGACCAGATGCGTTGACACCGTGGCTGCATCCCGGGGCTCAGACAAGGACAATTGTGCCGGTGGGCGGGGCGGGGCAGGTTCGTCCTGTTGTGCCCCGGGTCACTGTGTGTGGGAACTGGCAGCACCTGACAACTGGGTTCTGTAGGGTCTGGTATGGGGAGAAGTCCACGGAACAGTGGGTGACACCAGGGATGAACCTCCCCCTGCGCTGCCCGTGGGTACGCCCTGGCCCCCACGGGCTCTCAGGGTGTCCCTCACACTCCTAGGACACCACTCCAGTCACTGGTAAAGTCTGGTAACCACCTGCTGTATCCGGGCTGAGATGGGAAACAGCTGGCTGACTTGCATGACGAGCTGAGGCTCTCGCACAATGTCTCAATCTTCCCGAAGCAAGAACCGACAGACCCCAGCCTGCTCTGAGCTTCTTGGCAGGCTCATGGGCACCCTGGCCGGTGACTAAGCGGGCTTCTCCCTGCAGTGTATGGTGATCGAGAGAGTGGGCCGGCGGGTGCTGCTGATGGGGGGCTACGGCCTCATGACCTGCTGGGGGAGCATCTTCACTGCAGCCCTGTGTCTGCAGGTACCTGGGGGGTGGGGAGTGGAGCGCGGGGGCAGGGTGGAGGCAGAGGGCAGGGCTAGCCGCCTGCCCACCTCACCACCCGCTCCGCCCCCAGGACTCCTTTGCTTGGATGCCTTACCTGGCCATGTCCTGCGTCTTCGCCTTCATCCTCAGCTTTGGCATCGGCCCAGGTGAGCGGGCGTGGAGAAGCCATTCCCACGCGTAATTCCAGTCTGTGCCGGGGGAGGCCCGTGGGGGGGTGGCCGGGCCTGGTCCCCACCCTGCGTCCTTGTCCTTTCTGCAGCGGGTGTGACGGGGATCCTGGCGACGGAGCTGTTCGACCAGTCAGCCCGGCCGGCCGCCTATGTGGTGTGCGGGGCGCTGCTGTGGACGATGCTCTTCGTGGTGGGGCTGGGCTTCCCCTTCATCATGGTAGGCCTCCTCCCCATCGCCATGGCGGCCAGCCGGGAGACCAGGCCCAGAGGTCGGGAGGGGTGGGGGCTGACCCTCCCTATGACCTGGCCACAGCTGCCCGGGCTCTCTGACCCGCAGGAGAGCCTGTCCTCCTTCCTCTACGTGCCTTTCCTCGTTGTCTGTGTCTGTGGGGCCGTCTACACTGGTCTGTTCCTTCCTGAGACAAAAGGCAAGACCTTCCTGGAGATCGCTCAGGAGCTCCACCGCCTCAACTTCCCCCAGCGCCACCGGGACCTGGCGCCCAGCTGGGGGGGCCTGGACGTCGTCCACACCACCGAGCTCTAGCCTCCGTGGGGAAGGCTGTCTAGCCCGGCTGCTGCCTCCCGTGCAACCTTCGCCTGGTGCCGCATCCTTTATTGAGGACCCTTGACGGAGCATCGAGCGTGCCCCGGGATCAGGGGTGGGTGAGCCCAAGGGTTAGGCCCCAGCACCCCTCACCTCGTCAGCTCACTGGATAGGCATAGGCACCCCCTTCAAGGCAGAAACGCTTTGGGGAAAGGGGGTTGCAAGTGTATACTTGGAGAGTCTGGAGAGCAGGTTTCTGAGAAGTGGGGTTTGCGGGGGGGAGTGGGGGTGTTTTGTTTTTAAACTCAGCTTTATCAAGGTCTAACTTGCATGTAAGGCACCCCCATATCCATTTGAAAGGATGTATTTGATGTAACTGCTGGGACCTAGGATACCACCACCATACTCAAGGTGGAAGGTTTGGCATCTGAGCCCCAGCCCCAAACTCCCTGGCATTTGTGGTCAGCATTTTACAGCTCTGTCTAAGGAAGGGCACCCTGGTGGCATAGTGGTTCTGCCTTTGGCTGCTGACTGCCAGGTCAGCCGTTAGAAATTACCAGCCAGCTAGCTGACTTTGGGTTCATGTTACCTTTGCATCCACCAGCCTGTGGCCCCTGCTGTCTCGGCTTCCTGTTCATTAGCTTCCACCGGTCAGGAGCAGCTTGGCTTGAACAGGACGGGATTCATTGATTTCTGCCATTTCTTGATATAAACCTTTCTATAAAAAACAAACACCTACAAGTGTCCCTGTTGGTGCTTCTCGAGAGAACCCAGCCGAACACACTCTGTAAAGTGAAAGGTCAGCTAAAGCGAGGACCATCTTCCGCAAGATGGATTGACCCAGTGCAGACGGTGGGCTCAAACAGTGTGGTGATTGGGAGGACGGTGGTGTAGGACCGCGCCGTGTTTTGTTCTGGGGTGCACGGGTCACAAGATTCTGCAGCATCTAATGAGAGCAGTCGGTCTTTATATACTTCAGATGCTAGTACTTTGCCAGGGAAGCCCTGGTGGCATAGTGGCTACGGTATGAGTTGGGCTGCGGTTGCAAGGTTGGCAGTTCAAAACCACCGGCCACTCCATGGGAGAAAGATGGGGTTTTCTACTTCGGTAACACTTACAGTCTCAGAAACTCTCAGGGAGAGTTCTGCCTTCTCCTTTCGGGTGTCTGTGGGTCTGAATGGATTCCATGGCAGGGAAGTTTGTCAGACATACGTTCTTATGGACTTAAATGTGTCCACCAAAGATTGTGAGGATTTTATCTTGTTTGGATCCATAATCAATGCTCATGGAAGCAGCAGTCAGGAGTTCAAACAACCCATTGCATTGGGTAAATGTGCTGCACACGACCTCTTTAGAGTGTTGAAGAGCAAGGATGTTACTATGAAGACTAAGGTGTACCTGATTCAAGCCATATTTTTATTTGCCTCATAGGCATATGAAAGGAATGAAGAATGAATAAGGAATAATAAGGAAGACTAAAGAAAAATCCATGTATTTGAGTTGGTGTGGCAGTTACATAATCTGTCAACTTGGTTGAAGGGGGTGGAGTCTAGCCTGTCAATCAGGTCATAGCCAATGAGATCTCTGTGTGGGCATGGCCTTCTCCTGGGGATTCTGGGCATTCCTGTCTTCCTCCCTGGAGGCGGGACACACACTCTCTGCTTCACATTCCTGTTGACAAGCTGGATGGAGCTATGCTGACAGAGTCAGAGCCCTGGAGCTGGAGGAGCCACGTGGAGACCCACACTAGTGCTGAGATGCTTCCACCGCTACTGGATCCACAAGACTTTCCACCCACTGGCCTGTGATCTTCCTTCAGTGCCATCACATGTGCTGCATGCGTCTGAAGAGAAATTTGTAGACTGGCATTGGGCATATGGGCTAATATCAGACTCATGGACTTGATCTGAAATGGACAATGACTCTTTGATATAAAGCGCTCTCTTACACATACATGAGTATCTCTGGATTTGTTTCTCTGGTCTATCCGGACTAACACGGTTATAGTGATGGAAAGGAATATTGAAAGTACCATCGGCTGGCATAGAGAAAACAATCTGTCCTGGAAGAAGTACGGTGAAACTGCTCCTTAGAGGCAAGGACGGGGAGACCGCATTTCATGTACTTTGGACATGCTGTCAGTAGACACTAGTCCCTGGAGAAGGGCATCGTGTGTGGTAAAGTGAAGCAAAAGAGGAAGATCCTTGACAAGGTGGATGGATGCAGTGGCTGTCACCGTGGGCTTAGACATAAGAATGCTTGTGAGGACGGCGCAGGAGCAGGCACTGTTGGTTCTGTTGTACATAGAGTGGCTGTGGACGGGAATGGGCTTAGTGTCATCTACCAACTCAAACTATGTGCTGGAATCCTAACCCCTAAGCCTGCAGGATGTAATCCTGGTCTGTATATTAATTCGTGCATATCTGAGTAAGGTGGGTTTTATAATCACTTCTGAGTTATAAAGCAATCATATTACACACACACACCATGTGAAAATTATGGCTAAAGAGAGGGTGAAAAGACTCATGCCAAAATGACAAGTTTTCACTATCTTGACAAATGCAGCATCCGGCCCCACAGTCAAAGGGGGTCCTGAGGAGCGATGGCACAATTATGGAAGAAAACAAAGAAGATAGCTGAGCACAAGGGACTCAACTCCATTCTCGGGAGAAGAGCCTAGAGTTTATTCAACAATAGGGTCTCACAGTAACGAGGCCTTCAAGACTCGTGTTCATGCATACACAGTAAAGTGGGCAATGCGTTAACCTTGACTACCCTGAGCCTTCTAGGGGAACACTTCATAGGCAGTACCAGGCATGTCAGAGACAAACGGGGTGAATCGCTCCTTATGGATGAGAGACGGGTGGAGTTGGCATTAGATTGCAGCTTGGAAGGCTGTGGGCAGCACGGCCTGCTATTGGGAAGTGAGGCCTGGGGGGCTGAGCTCTCCATCTGGGTTCTCGTCAAAGCTGTTGTATTTTTATCTGCCCCAGGGCTGTCCTGCCTTTCCACGGCGTCCGTGGTCAGCGCTATTGGCTAGGGTCGCCTGTCCAGCAGACCCTGCTCTGTTTAGTACATTTGTGTCTGCTTATCTCTATGCTGCTACTCCTGTGGTCCCGAAGTGTGGAACATCCCTCTCCGTGGTTCTCCGGTGGTGATTCCCGAGGAGCCCCTCTGGTGTGTGCCACTCGCTCTCCATCTTATATTAACTTTTGTTTTTCCATTCCAAAACTGTTTATTGTAAATTAGCATTCACGGCTCTAGATACAAGTCTGGATTTTATGAATGAGGCCTTCTTTGAAACATACATTGAAACTTCTTTTTTTTTT